TATAATTTTTCACCACCCCAACTCTAGATGCTGATACTCACTCCCTCTCCTATTGCCTCATTCTCCCTTTAAAACATCCAGAGGTAGGAGGCATGGCTCAAAGCAAAAGAACACCTGCCAAGCAAGCATAGAACCCTGAGTTTGAGCCCTAATACCGCCAAAAAAAACCCATCCAGTTGCCTCTGTACAAATGGAATCTGAGTTTAGTTCACACTGGAAATTATCTCTATTTCAATAATATATTACTGATTAGAATCTATCTTTATCATTTTAGTGTATTACTTAGGGTTTTTTGCTTATCTGATAACATGCAGACTCAAAAATTCTACCATTGGTCTGTACAATTTTTTTTGACAGTATCAGGATTTGAAGTCAGGGCCTCGTGCTTGCTAGGCAGATGCTCTACAACTCAAGCCAGCCTACATTTTTTTTCTTCTTTGAAACTGCCTTGGAGAAGAAAATTATTCTTATACCTTCTTATTTCCTACCATCCTTTCTTTTTCTTTTTCTTTCTTTTCTTTTCTTTTTTGTAATACTGGCCTTGTGCTTGCCAGGTAAATAATCTATCACTTGAGCCACAGCCCTTTGTATTTTTAGATTATTTTTCAGATACGGGCTTATGATTTCTACTCAGGGCAGTCTCAGATCTCCATCCTCCTACGTATACTTCCTATGTAGCTGAGATTACAGGAATATAACACCATATCTGGCTTGTTTGTTGAGATAGGATTTGCTAAATTTTTGCCTGAGCTACCTTAAACTGTGATCCTCCCAATCTCTGCCTCCTGAGTAGCTGGAAAGATAAGTGTGACCCACTGTATCTTACCTTCATTTCTTCCTTATCTAAGTAGTCTAAATGACATTTTTTTTCTTTTTATTTCTACGCTGGTCCTTTGCTTTCATCACAGAATCATCCAAAAGAAGAATAACCCTTTTCCAAATCTTGGGTTTACTATCTTCTCACTACTGAAATAAACCTGCCAACAGAGAACTGATGGTGTGCAACAGAGAATGCAGTGGTGGGTGTCTAATGTCTAAATGATTTTATTCTGTTTTAGGCAAAATACAGCATTCAGAATTAATATAAGAAAAGATAAATATAGAGCCAGGCATGGTGGTGCAAGCTTATAATCCCAGTACCCAGGAGACAGAGGCAGGAGAGTTGAAGCCAGCCTGGGCTATGTAGTGAGACACTGTCTCAAAAACAACAAACAAAAAACAAATGAACACACACACAAAAAGAAAAGATAAATATATTTAACTCCATAAAACCTAAACATCTTCAGATGACAAAAGATAGAATTTTAAAAGCAAAAATTTAATAATAATGCATGAGAAAAATATTTGTCACTAAGACAGTGTGATTGTGGTTAATGTCACAAACATACGAAGAGTTCTACAAATTGATAAGAAGAGGTAAAATATTTCAGCTCCAGCTTTCACAGATTCTTTTATTGAAACACATGCAACTAATCATCAGGTTGTCTGCTGGATCATTATGTACCTTACAGCTATGTAATGAGGACAGACCTGTGGGAAATGCCTCATCCAACAAATACCGCCCCACACCCCCAAGTCTGGAAGGCTCATACCCCTCAGGAACTCAGCATGGAGAGGTTCTTGAGCACTTGACTGCACCCTTTTGTGCATTTTCTCCTAAGATCTTTTCCCAGAAAGCTGCATGTGTCATTGATCTGAGAGTTTGTGGGCAGAAAGTCAATGGCTTAGGGACAAGAACAGAGTGAGAATTCTGCAGAGGCAGAACAGGATAGAGACTGAGAGAACATCTTTGATGGTCAAGAGCTATCAAAGCCTAGTCCCCTTCTGCATCCCTCTTCTCATTCAGCACTCCTGGTCCCCAGGAGAGCTTCTGCCCCTGGTGGGGAACACCCAGGCTATGGTGCAGCTTGAGGACCTGCAGCGCCTCCTGGAGGTTTGCTTGCAGCTCCTGTGGCTCCAGCTTCCTTAGCCGCCGGCTGTGAATGCTGGAGGGGAGTGGGGATGACAGGTTCTTGATATAACTATCTCACACAAACACAGATCATATACACCAGCCTGGTAGCAACCCACCCCCTCAAAACCCTCCAGCACTGAACATACCTAAAGATCTGAGGCATGGGTCTATAGCAACAGCTGCCATGAAGCATTTAAAACCAAGAATCATTTTCACAAAGAATTTAAATTTTGGTAAAATTGTGCTGTTTAGCCAAATGAGATTGTTAATTAATGATTGCTTTTTTCCTGAAAAAAGAAAGTATAAGAAAAGTAGTTGCCACTAAAAAAGCAACAGGATTGTGGCTGATATTATAAACATATAAACAGAGACTGAGTAGATGAGTAGGTGCCAATGATAAAAGCATTCAGACATATGAAAACATGCTCAATCCCTGTAGTAGTTTTGACAAATACAAACTGTCATCTATCATACTGGCAACATTTAACAGGACTAATAACATCTTAATGCAAGAGAAGATGGAGCAAGGTCAGGGGAGGACTCAGGGACTGACTTAAACACTGTTGGTGGGGAATGGATGACTACAACTTTTACCTATTAAAATTACATAACTATAACCACATAGATGATTAGATATATGTATATGTATACCATTTAACTCTGTAATTCCATGCTTGGGAATCTATCCTACAGGAAAAACCAAAAAAAGAACCAGTTTAGGCCAGGCTGAGCTACATAGTAAGATTTTGTCTCAAAAAGGAGAGCACTGGGTGTAGCTTAGTTATAGAGTGTGCTTGCCTAGCACACAAAACCCTGGGCTTGATTCATCAGCACAGATAACAGAAAAAAAGTACAGTCTGTCAAAGGTAATGGTGACGAATTCATTCTCTGGAGTATTTTGCAACTGTTAAAACTGAGACTGAGAGACTGGCAGAGTGGCTCAAGGGGTGTAAAGCCGGTGAGGCCCTGAGTTCAAACCCCAGTAGTGCCAAAACAACAACAACAAAAAACCCCAAACAACAACAACAACAAAATCTACTGGGACTGGGAGGGTAGCTCAGTGGTGGTGGAATGTATTTAGTATGCCCAAAGCTCTGGGTTCAATCCCCAGTATAGGACAAACAAACAAACAAAACAGATTTGTATTCACTGAATTGAAAAATATACATGATGTAACTTTAAGTGAGAAAAGTAAGTTACAAAGTACACACTCTGGTTTTTCTTTGCTAAATAACTAAACATCCCAAGTACTTATCCATATGTGTATCCTTGTGTATATAGAGTAAGATGTAGAAGCTTGCAGACTAATCTGTTAACATTAATTACTTCAAGAGGGGAAGTATGGGGAATGTTTCCTCTTTTCTGTATATTTCTACATTGTTTTACTTGTAACAATGAGCATGTTACTACTTTTGTAATTACTGTACTACAATGCTCATGTAATGTGCATACCATGGAATTGTATTCAGCAATAAAAAGAATGAAGTGCTGTGCTGTGACATGGATGACCCTTGAAAGCATAGCACTAAGGGAAAGAAAGCAGTTTCAAGGGACCTCATATTGTATGATTCCATGTATATGAAATGCCCAGAACAGGCAAGTCTTACAGGGTCAAAAGGATTAGTGGGCTGGGGAACCAGGAGTGACTGTTAACTGTGATAATGGTGGAACACTTCTGTGAATAGACTAATAATTGCTTTCAATGAGTGACTCAAAAAACCTGTTAAAAATACTATGCACTGTTAACGTGTCTTATTCATGGAGTGGCTGAAATGGTAGCGCACCTGTACAGTAATTGTGAGGTCCTGAGTTCAAGCCCCAGTGCTGCAATAAGAAAAAGATTGACTTTTCTTTTAATTTAATTTTAAGACAAAGTCTCACTAGGCTCACTAGGTAGACAGTTTGAGCCAGGCTTAGAACTCACTATGCAACCAAGGCTGGACTTGAACTTACAATCCTCCTGTCTCAGCCTCCTGAGTGCTGGGATGGCAGGAGTGGACTACCATATTTGATATCTTTCATTGTAATTGTGAAAAATGTGCCACAGACTCTAAGGACAATTCCAAAACATGTCAGAGTCTAAAGGAACTACTTTGACGGGGACATCATGGTTTTGGACAGTAAATTCTTCTACTTTAAAAAATATTTCACATAACTTATAAAATGCAATATAAAATGCATAATGAGTAAAATAAACCCCATTTCAGAGACCTTAATTCTCTGCCCCCTAAAAAAGGACTGAAGTTTATCTGTCTTCTCACTTACTTCTACGATGCCGGTGGCCAGCTTTAAGTAGTCACTATTTCTGAAATGCTATTTAATGAACATTGAGTACACCAATAAAATAAAAAGAAAGAAAACCCAGCGTCTGGAAATATTGCTCCAGCTCTCAAAAATTTAGTTCCAACAAGGCTAGTTGTTACTGAAACGCTTTTTTAAGAAAGAAAATAAAAACTGAGATTTTTCTGTACAGAAATGTCCACTCGACCGCATTGGGATGAGAGAAGATAAATCGTTTCATATAACAACAAAAATATGTATTGTACACAGTCAGTAAATTTTTATTTTTAAGTGAATAGAATAATACATAAAATTTATCTTCATATATGAATACCACTGCTGTGGGAAGAAGCGTGTGTTTGCATTTACTCCTAATGGATTCCGGCGAGACCTCTTCCCATCGGCGCCGCTGGTGTAGTGGTATCATGCAAGATTCCCATTCTTGCGACCCGGGTTCGATTCCCGGGCGGCGCAGCTTCCGTTTTCTTAAAACAAGATAACTTGAAGAATCTTAATAAATCTTTATTGCTTCCTAAATGCTTCCCTTCCCCCTCCTTTTTTTTTTTAATTCCCTGCACATTTCTGTTTCAGTCTAACTATCGAAACATTCGAATGGGGAGCTGTAAGAGTACGTTTGCGCGTGCGCCACCTGAGGGTGGAAGAGCGGCTGCGCAACAAGTGAACCTATGGCTCGCGGGGCATCCTGTCGGCCGCGGGGTTGAAAGTGCGTGGTAGCTTTGCGCCTGCGCGGCCCGGATCACTCAGCTGCCTGCTTCTCGGCTCCCTGTTCGCCGCCATCTTGAATTGGGGCTTCATTGTTCGTTCTGGGCCGGGCGTTTTAGTGTCAATTGGCGCCGAAGAAGAACGCGAAGTAACCTCGGGTCAGCCGAGAAAGCCCGCTGTTTCGCAGTCATAGCTCCTCAAACGCTTTGGGAATTAGTGAAGGGCAGGGAGCTGGACGGAGAGGCGTCGCCGCGACAGCAGCAGCCATGGAGGACGAGATGCCCAAGACTCTGTGAGTCTGGAGCAGCGATGAGGGAGGCGGGATGGTGGTCGTCCCTGAGGGAGGCCTCGGCAGTGTCCCGCTCCCCAGCCTATTGTTCTCCGTGGACGCCGCGATATCGTGGTTGCTCTCCTCTTAGCACACGTGGACGCTCAGAGCCGAGACCTGACGGGCTCAGCCCAGTCGGTCCTGCCACGTTAGCCGCACGCGCGGGGCCGGACCCCGGGAGAAGACTTCGGGGAGCCCCGCACCGCCGCGCACGCCTTCCCTTTGTCCCCGCTCGCCCTCCCCCGGGAGCCCCCTTCCGTGTCACTTGGTCTCCTCCTCAAACTCATTTTCTTGTTGATAGGGTGCTTTCTTTCCCTTCCTTGATTCTCGCAGTTGCCAAGTGGAAAAAAAAAAAGCCAAATTATTTTTCTTGAACCTTTCTTTGGCTTTCCTTCCGTAGCACCCCCTGACCCTCTACCCCCCCAAAAAAATAAAACGGACACCCCAAGGATTTTGAAACTGCTTTAAAAAAATCGAAGTTCACCCACCCGGAGGAATAGACGTACTGAGGGAAGTGGGTTTAATACATTGTTACTTTAATAATCGCTTTTTACTCTTGTGATTGCCACGCTGCCCATCTAGCAGGCGGGTTTTAGAAAGCAACAGTTGATGATAATGTATTTAGTCAAGTCTGAAGGTTAGTAGTTAGTATTAAATGATCTGAGCTTGGGACATTTTCTTTGTCGCGTAGCTGCCCTCCCCCACTCCATTCTGTTTTTCAAAATATTATTGGATGAGGTGAGCCTGCCTTTGTTGCATGTCTTCAAAAAAAAAAAAAAGGAAAAGCTCGATGAGTTGGGTTTTTTGTTTTTATATCTTATTTTGTGTATTTGAAATTTACACCATGATGGTTTTGTTATGGGATACATGTAGATGGTAAATTGGTTACTGTAAATGAGACAAATTTAACATACACTTCATCTCACGTAGTTACTTTTCAGAGTTCCTGACACAGCTTTTTTGTTGTTATTCTTGGAATACTGGCAGTTTGAGAGCCTCTGTGCATTAAAAATGCAATTTTAGATTTCTCTTTGAAATTCTTTTTTGTTTTTAGTTTTTCTTTTTGAAATTATATAGGCACTGAAGTTCTGAAATGTAATTTTTCAAGTCTGCAAAATCGCAGTTTTAAGTTGATACTTTTAATGTATATGAGAAATGTAGTTGCACTTGTTTTCTTAATCATTTAAATATTTTGCTAGCTGATCTATAATCTGTTAGCTCCCTTGAAGTATCTTTTTGATGCAGCAATTATGGCATGACCTTTGTTTTTGGAAAGATTGTATCTGTAGATGAATACTCCCTAAAAAACTATGGGGCACATGAGTGTGGAAACTCTTTCCTCTTCCATCTTGGCTAGAAAAATGGTAGGTAACACATTGGGTTAAACACTGCTTATGTTTCTATAATGTCTGCATTTAAGATTCTTACATTATTTTGAAATGTTTTAATTTCAGAAACTGCCAGAAATATCTGGAACTTAACCTTTTTAGTACGTTGATTTGGGAATATCAAATAATGAAGACAACTTCAGCATTCTCAGGCCAGTCTACAAAAGCAGGTAGTTAAATAGTACTAGATTGGGGACAGGGGACTAACCATTGCAGGAGAAAAAGTGAACTTTTATTCACAAAGTTATTGGATACTTAGTGTCAGGCTCTGTTTTAAATGCTTTACATGGTCATTTAATCCCCATCACAACTCTAAGGTATAAATTACTCCATTTTGTAGCCAAGAAAAAGCTAAGCTTAGAGTTTGAGTAACTCATTCAAAATCACATACCCTTTTGTTCTTCATCCTACCACTCTACTATCCTTAGTAATTTTGTCTTATACCCCTCATTAGAACACCCCACCAAATAATTTTTTCCCTCTAAAGAAGTCCATGATCTAGAATTGCCTGTTGTCACCTCCCTAGCTTCTACCTCCCTCAACCAAAACTCCCATTCTTCTAGTCAGGCCAATCTTGATTAAATATGGGTAGGTACTAATCCCATAATCTTGATTATCGAGATATTTTATCAAGATTATCAAGATATCTTGATTAATCAAGATTTAATCTTGACTAAATATGGGTAGGTAAGAATACTTTAAAATGTTTGCTTTAATGACCCTAAGAGTCAGGGGCTTTTAATATGTTCTTAGCTTAGTGTCTGAACAGTAGTGATAAGTGAGTTTGTTTAAAAATCTGGTATAGTTGCAGAAGTGAATAAAGATTTTACTCGTTGAAAATAAAATAGCCTGTATTTTAGTATCATCTGTGTTTCTTAAATGGCATTACCTTGTTAAGTTAAAGATTGCCAGTATTCAGTTTCTTGTCCGAAATACTTTGAAAACATTGGATGACAAACTTTTCTTTTTTTTGGGACAAACTTTCTTAAAGTCTAAACTGCACGATTATATTGAGGAATGTTCAAAGTACAATTAATAAATTCAAATACTTGTAGTGAGTGGATGGGTGATATGTACATACTGTTACTCTCATGTATAAATTTGAAATTGTCCATCATGAAAAAAATAAAAATATATGTATAGTGAATCTGAATTGGCCTTGGTCACTTTAAAAAACATTCAATTTGTGAATTAAAAGCTGCACACTAAACTAGAAAAATGCAGATGAATCTTAAGATTGCTATGCAGTTATGATGTCTTTCATCTTTGCTAATATTGTAGGTTATACATTTTAAAATATCTTTAAAAGCCTGCAGCTAAATAATTGCTATATATGAGTGTGAGACTTGTCGTTTATCACCCCATGCCTATCTTTTAGTTCTGGTTGTCCACCTCACTTCTCTCCAAACATCTTTGGCCTTGCAATTTTGAAATTTGTATGATATAGCATCTCTCTTTTTTTTTTGGTTTTTTTTTTTTTTGGATACAGGGTCTTACAGTAGTCTATTTGTTCATTTTTAACTGAAGATTAGGTTGAAGCAAGATTGACTTAAGTGAGATATTTAATTATTGGATAAATCCTTAAGTTTCCAAGTAATTATTTTTTGTTAAAACTATGCTAGAAACATTATATTTGTTCATTAGTATTTGAGATCCTGCTCCATGGCTATCACTGTTTTAGAACCAGGGAAACAAGTAAATATAATAGATCTTTAGAGATCTTACGGAAGTAGTTGTGTTAGATGGTGATAAGTAGTAAGTATTATGGGGTAAAATAATGCATTGTAGGGAGTATGATTCAGTTAATTTATAAGAGACTAGTAAGAGAAAGTCATCCTTTGATAAATAACAGAGTACAAAACTGAATTTGCTGAGGAAGGACCATTTATATGTCTGAAGGAAGAGCTCTCTAGAAAGAACTAGTGACTGCCAGGCAAGTAGCCCAGCAGAGACAGGAAGATCATGACTTCTAAGCCAGTCTGAGCAAAGGTATTTACAAGACCCTGTCAAAGCAAAAGGGTTGGAGACATAGCTCAAAGTGGTAAAACTTTGCCTACCATGCACAGGGTCTTGGGCTCAGTACCCAGTGAGACAACACACACACAAGAGGTGGGTCATGCTTGTTGAGTAGCCTGAAGAGAGTGAACATGGATGAGTAGATGTGGTTAGGTGATGGGACAAAGTTAGTAGGGGAGTTAGAAGATCATACAGGGCCTTAAGAGGGCTATGTATTTTACCTGAGTGGTAATGAAAACCATAGGAGGGTTTTAAGCAGAGGAGTCATATAATCTGTCTTAACCATTAAAAAGGGTAGAATCAAGCTGGTTAAGGAGCCAGTTCAAGTGAGAGACAAAATAATGGCTTGTAATGCAGTACTGGTAGAAGTAATGAGAAGTGGCTGCATTCTGGATGTTTTAAAAATCTTAACAAATGTTACCAATGGATTGAATGTGTCATGTGAGAATGACATCATCAGTAAGTGGGTTTATTCACAAATGTATAATAATAGTCATCAAAAATAGTTTTTTGCAAAATTTAAGTAAAAATGCAAGTAGTTTTGATAACATGGATGTCCCTTAGGATGTCTGCTGGTATAGTGTTAGGTGTATATTTGTTCCAGCTGGTTTATGTGTACTACCTAATAAAGATCATTTCAGCTATCCTACAATGTTTTTCTCTGGAGACAAGGTTTGACTTTGAAGCCCAAACTGGCCTCAAAATGGCAATCATCCTGCCTCAGCCTCTTGAGTGCTGGAATTACAGGTGTATGCTATCACTCCTGACTTTCTACATTTTCTTTCTTTCTTTCTTTCTTTTTTTTTTTTTTTTTTGTGGTACTGGGTTTGAACTGAGGGTCTCCACCTTGAGCCATTCCACCAGCTCGTTTTATGAAGGTTTTTTTCGAGATAGGGTCTCATGAACTGTTTGCTCAGGCTGGTTTTGAACCTTGATCCTCCTCATCTCTGTCTCTTGAGTAGCTAGGATTACAGGTGTGAGCCACTGGCACCTTGCTCTACGTTTTCTTAATTAGGAAAATACATAACTAATGTTTCATCCTGAATGTTAGTAACTCAGGAAAAATGAAGTAATTTCCTAGCAAATTGCAGCTATTGAAGTCGTTCTGAGAGAAGTACACTTAATCTCTTTAATAAATATTTATAGAACACTTGAAATATTCCAGACAGTATTCTAAGATAGTAGGTATTCAATATGAATTTTTAAACTTCCGCATACAGAATTTATCATTAATTAGAAATCTACTTTGGTCAGACCCCTCTGGCTCACACCTGTAATCCTAGCTACTCAGGAGGTAGCGATCAGGAGGATCTCAGTTCCAAGCCAACCTGGGCAAATAGTCTGCAAGACCCTATCTCGGAAAAAAAAAAACACAAAAAAGTGATGGAGTGGCTCAAAGTGTAGGCCCTGAGTTCAAGCCCCAGTACTGCAAAAAAGAAAAAAAGAAAGTTATTTAGGCTTTTCACTCATTTTCACAGGAACTTCTTAGCAGATTTTGTATTTTATTTTATTTATTTATTTATTTATTCAAAAATATATATTAAGTTGACATGCAGTTCTATCCCTGGCAGAGCTGTCATGTTTTCACTAATAGAATGGGTGACTTTTCCCAAAAAAATCTCCCTTCTAAAGTATTTATTTTGAAAAGTTAAAAACCTTGCTTTTTGGGAGGCATGGATTGAGAGGATAGCAGTTCAGGGCTAGCCTGGGCAAAAAGTTCTAGAGACCTCATCTTAATCAATAAAAAGCTGGGTGTGGTGGTGTGTGTCTGTCATCTCAGCTATGTGGGAAGAGTAACTAGGATCTCAGTCCAGGACAGCCTAGCACCCTTTTTGAAAAATATCTAAAGCAAAAGGGACTGGGGACATGACTCAAGTGGTAGATGGCCTGACTAGCAAGCACAAGGTTGAGTTCAAATTTCATTCAGTACTGCCAAAGAAGAAAAAACAAATTTTAAATCAACATATTGAAGACTTGGGTGCTTTTCATGTGGAATTACCGATTGCTAATATTTAGCCAAATTTGTGCTATTTATGTGTGTTTTACTGAAGCATTTGAGTTAGTTGAAAACATCATGGGCACTTCAGGCTTAACTATTGTCTTACATTTACAGTTCTTCACATTAAAGAGAGTATAGTCATACATTATTAGTTTTGTGTGTATGTGTTTCTAGAAATGGAACCTAGGGGGTTCTGGGTAGTAAGTACATGCTCTTCCACCACATGTCCAGCTCCAGATACAATATTAAGTAATACACAATTTATATTCACATTTATCCAGTTGTCCAAAGAAGACATGCCGTGGTTTGTCCTCCAAAGGTTCATGTCCTGAAAGCTGGTCCCTGGAATGGCAATGTTGAGAAGCTATAGACTTTCTAGCCACCAGAATTGTGGGGGTAATAAACCTCTTTTATAAAATATTTTGTTACAGAAGCACAAAACAAGACAGAGCATTTTTCACTTTATTGACTTAATAGTTAATTCCTTTCTGCTCTTGTCTTTACTTTCCAGTTCTGCAGGAGATTGGTACATGAGCTCAGAAGTGTTAAAGTAAATACCAACATGGGCTGCTTAAATCCTTGTTAACAAGAAATCATTGGAATAGCTAAAAGGATTTGGGAGGAGTGGGTAACTAGGGATTGAACTCAGCTTTATGCTTGCAAAGCAGGTACTCTACCACTTGAGCCATACCTCCAGTCCATTTTGCTGTGGTTCTCATTGGAGATGGGGTCTCACAAACTATTTGCCTGGGCTGGCTTTAAAACTTGACCCTCCGATATTAGCCTCCCAAGTAGCTAGGATTACAGGTGTGAGCCTCCAGTGCCTGGCTAAAAACATGTATTTTAATGTTATTTGAAACAGTGGGTCTGGGAGGTAGCTCAGTGGTAGAGTACTTCCCTAGCATGTGTAAGACACTGGGTCCGATACGTAGTACTACAAAAGAAAAAAAGTCTTCATTGAAAAAAAAAGAAAAGCCCAGGCTGGTGGTTCATACCTGTAATCCTAGCTACTCAGGAGGCAGAGGTCAGGAGAATCCAGGTATGAAGCCACCCTGAGCAAATAGTTCTTGAAAATAACCAATAAAAAACAGGGCTGGAGGAATAGCTCAAGTGATAGAGCACCTGCCTAGCAAGTGTGAGACCCTGAGTTCAAAA